AATTAATTGCTATATAGACATGTCCAATGGCTTTGTGATGGGTTTAAATGAACATGCAAGGTATGCCATCAAGCCATCGACTTGGACACAGAGGAGTTTTTGATTGCCCATGGCAAGTCATCCTTTCTGAAGCCTGAGAAGCTTGCCAAATTGTCCCGAGAACATGTTGGCCCAGGCCAGCTTGCTACCTCAGGGGTGGTGGCCAAAATGAAAAGTTGAGGAACTAATATAATATATTAGTTGCATTATTAACATAGAAGAGTGATTCTAAATATTGAGGCAGCCCCAGGTACTTCAAACCCATCAAACATTTGACATGGAAAAATCCAAACATTGTGTAGCATCTAGATTTGCCCGGCCGATGTTCCCTTCAGCATTTTGGATCTCTGAGCACTGATTTTGGTTGGCCATAGGTTGATCATAGAATCACCAGCGTGGTACGACACCCCATGGCTAGCCTCAACCTTGGAGATGTTTTGGCGAAACATGGCTTGAAGAAGGACTGACAATCACTTGACTGTTTGGAATCAGAATTCATCTTGATATAGTTTGACCAAAGTGTCCACAGTGAACCCTGACCCATGTTTCTCCAGGATTTGGACGCAATGTTGGAACGAAGTCCTGATGCACTAATCACCCCACCACCTAATACTGCCAGCTTCTCAGAATGGTCCAATTATGATTCACACTTGGGATTCACTTGATTTTGATAACATCCTAGTGTTCCACTCCTGCTCAACTGCTCTTCCTAGGTGCACTCGCCTCGAACCGGGACACCACCCTCTGCACCAGCTGGGAACACGGGCAAGCTGGAGACTAAAGCTTTGCCCCTGAAGAGCCACAGTGCTGATGGAAAGAAACAGGAAAGAATCTTGACCGATGCTGAGATTCAGAATCTTAAGGGGGAAGTTGATGAATGCGTGGTCAATTCCAAGGAGTCTAAGAAAAAGGGTTCTAAACCCAACGGTGCTAAGGGTGACCATCCTGATGTGGAAATGGCGCTTCCTGAGCCAAAGGTTCCTAGAAGGGGGGCTGCTGCAAGGGCAGCTGCTCAGGCCTTGTCGGCCAGCTTGGCCACTCCTGCTCCTTCTCAGGCCCCCAAGGCCAAACCTGGGCGCAAAGGCAAGGACCCAAAGGCCAAGGCCAAGGCGAAGGTCAAGAAGAACCCAAAGAGTCGAGCTGCCAAGACGAAGAAGGCTGGTTTCTACTTTGCCTTTATGACATCATGTCCTTGAATGTCTGCATGATGCAGTTTTATCAGCCAGAACCAGTTTTGTTTTCATGTTCCACAATGGTAATGAATAAAAACATGTTTTGATCACGCTTTGACCCCTGCAGCCTGCGGCATCCAAGAAGCAGACCAAGTCAGAGATTCCGGCCACCCAGGCTTCCTGGCTGATGATGGAATGGGAAGGATACAAATAAGTATCATAGGGGGTTATCTGTTTCAGTCCCGAAATCAAATATAATATGGATTTATCAGATACTAACCACTGATCACAAAGCTGTTGAAATCCAGCATATTGCACCTGGTGATTGGAAAGCACCCCTCCAAAGTCTACCAAGGAGAGTCCAATGTTTGACAACGGAGAAGAGGAAGATCCCGAGGAAGACCCCGAAGAGGTGGATGAGTTGAGTTCTACGGAGGAGCTTGATTTGCCCACACCCATCAAAGAGGAGATGGAGTGTGGGGATTCTGCTGCTGCCTCGCCTGGCAACAGCCCGAAGCCCAAGAATGCGAAGCGCTCCAAGAGCAGCAGCAGCCTCAAGGCTGATGGCCCTAAGGATATGCGATCCTCTTATTGGACATATATCCATGACCAGCAGAAGCAGATCAAGAAGGAGAATCCTGAGATGAAGCCCAAGGATGTTCTGAAGATGGCTCGTGAGAAGTCACTCAACTCAAACAATCAATCAGTGAATATCAGTGATCAACATTCTGATGGTCCAAGGGTCCAAAATAATCAAGATATTGAAGCCTCATCGGAATTACACCTCTTAGTGAATCCAAATTATATAGAGGTTGATGTTCTCCATGTTAAAACCTTGACCTCAACTATCAACTATTGATTCAAGTTACATACTATTCACAATGACCTGCCACTCTGAGCAACCCAGCAGCTGGATTCAACACCCACTTGACTTCTCCTCAGGTGGCTGACATGCGAGATCCGAATGAACAACGTGAGCCATTTGTCCAAGAGTGAGCTCAGCCGTCGCCGAATCAAAAAGTAAGTTGTGTCACCAATATTTAGATCAAATCTTTGGAGGTAGCAACATGCCCACCAAGTCTCTGAAACATATAGTTGACCCAATGTCTTATAGGATGATTCAATTAAATGCTTTCATGACATACACTGATCAAAAAGAAATGCTGAGTTTGCTGTGTGATGAGCAATGGGGGGCATCAGCTACCGTTAGCTATAACTATGTGGCGCCTACATGGCTTAAGGTTGCTCGTTGGGGGATTCGAGCTACCTGCTGGGCAATAGGCTTGAACTAGCCACATTCCAGTCTAAGCGGATTCTGCAGTGAAAAAAAAGTGTTCTCTCATTCTGTATGGGTCAGGCCACTGAATTCCACCCCAAGTAATCACTAGAATTCATTTGAATGAAGTTGGATATTTGGGGTACCAAGCCAATCTGGAACAAAATCATGTGACACCCCTTTTTCTAAACCAATCACGGTATTGTGACACTTTGATCATGTCCTTGTGGTGGGGTTTAGGAAATCAAACAATTGCACTTCGAGCCCACCAGGTGACCCATTGGCCTTCACAATGCCGTGCAAGTGGCTGTCGGATCAGGAAAAAGTTGTGCTCGAGATGAGCTCAGAATCGTCGAAGAGCACCTCAGATGCAGCCCCATGCACCATCCGTGCTCTGCTCCATGAGTTGGAGGAAACCAACATTGTGGACACAGGCTTACATGCCCATACCTGTGAACGCCCTGGACCCCAGCAGGAAACCAAAACAGGCCATGAATTTGCCAAACTTTGTTCATTGATTTGGTTCCCCCCCATATACTTTGAGATCTGTCATATCCCTTTTAAATCCAAATCGCCTTAATGTAAGACATGATTCCCCACACTGGGACTGTCAGGCAGTCTTATAGTATCATGTTTGTTTGGTAGAAGATAATGTTTAAATTGTCGTTGAATTGGACTCATTAAACCATAGGAACATCACATTATCTTCTCCAATTTATTGATGAAATCCACTACGCATGGGCATTCAGCAAAATCCCACATTCGGAAGTGGCGATATCCTGAGATCCCTTATCTTGATAGGTGATGATTACTTTGTGGTGAAGGCTGGGAAGAATGTGCCAGTGTTCTCCTACACGCCATCCCTGAACAACCTGAAGTTCGCAACTGTGGCCAGCGCGTTCACACGTGAGGTGGGGTTACAACAGAAAACATTTCACTACCCAGTCAGCCCCTCCTTAAACAAATGGATCAAATGGAAATTTGGAAAGTAATGCACAGACATGTTCAACCCGAAAGGTTCTTGACGCTAGTGCGACATTGACCCGAGCTTGGAGAGTGGCCTATTTGAAGGCTGAAAAGGTTTCTTGCCGTCAAATTCTATATCATATTTTTGCCTTCCACCTTTTTACCCAAAGCCTTTAGCCAGTGCTGCCTCTGAGGAAATCATGCCGAGTTGCTTGGCTCAGCAGGGCACCATGGTGCCATGGGATTTTTTCTATGATAGAACTAGAGTGCATCACAAACTTGATGGGTTCCTTGGGTCTACTGATCTACTTACTTGATAATGCCTCACATTGGTGCTGAGGAAAGCCATTGTACTTCCTGCGTGAGGATGTATCATTGGGTGTCAATGAGGTCTTACGTTTGCTGTGATCAAACTAGATCACTCTCGAAGTAGAGCGTTCCTGGTTTTGCCGGTACTCTGACAATGAGTGCTGTTGGGGTTTGTCTGTCAAGGCATGACTTCAGAAACCATGTAAAACCCATAGTAACCAATACAGTAAATTGGAACCGGTCTATTTTTTGGATGGGGTCAGCTATGCCTTGCAATGGGATGGTAAAAGGACACCTGTGCGATCCATGCAGCGAGAAAATGGCCGTCGAGACCGAGCAAGATGAACTTCACCATTCTCACCATATTTGGGTCTTGGGTTAATTTCATTTTGGCTACCCATCCAATGATATGGGCTAATCACCAAACAAACCCATTCAGTTTCAACTTCCATATCAACCTCATACATGGGTGAAATCCTTTCAATTGCAACTTACATACATGGGTGAATCCCATCATTTTCAAGCATCAAATAAAATGAATTGGGGATCGAATACAACGAAACTTACTTATATATATATATAATCATATATACACATCACGAAACCTGTGCACGACCCAATATCCAAGAAAGATATGGCAATGTACCCCTACCTGAAGTTGCCATTGATTGACTGACAAAAACGAAACGAGCAGATTTGCATGTGTCTGAAAGTATTACCCCAAAGACATTGTTGATCATCATTGTTCTGTTAATTGACCATGAATCGGGAGCCCATTGAGCCCATCTTCGATGGCTGGCAAATTGTTAACATACTGTTACAGAATACTTACATATACATTCATATCAGTGTATCATATTATATAATTATATATGTATATATTATCCACCAGATTCCCCATTATATGCGCCATTATATGTCCCCAGATAGTAGTATCATGTATTATCATATCATATCATATTATATACCCATGTATTCAGATATAAAGCCATGATACAGTGGAAAAAAAACTGCACCTTTTTTGATGTGGTAAACATTCCATTATTTTCATAGGCTTCCAACATCTTACTGGTGTTTAGCAGGGAATGAAGGAATGATCCGTAATCACTAGTAACACTAGTAGTAATCATCCCAGCAACCCCCATTCCCCCAGCAACCCATCCATTCCCTACGTAAAACGCACCAGTAAGACATGTTCCAACCATCCTTTTGGTTGGTGGATGTCGTGGACCCAGCGCCTGAGTTCAGGCGTTCTTCCGAGGGCATGAAGATGGTGACACCGCCCGCGGGGCCGCGGGGCACGATGCTGATCTTGGAGACGATGTCGTAGTCGTTCCTAGGTGGATTGAAAGAGGTACCCTCTGGTAATATATTTAACATAGCTATTGAAAATATTTGAAAATGGCCATTTATAATGGATTTACTCATTGAAAATGGTGATTTTCCATAGCTATGTTAGTTTACCAGAGGGTATAGTAAGGATATTGACCATCAATAAGCAATCAATAAGCAATCAATAAGCAAACAATAACCAACAATAACCAACAATAACCAAAAACAATCAACAGTCACCAACAAGAATCAACTATGGATTGATGACTAGGATATTGACCATCAATAAGCAACAATAACCAACGAGCACCAACTGTTGATTGACGATTATATGGTGAGGGTGATATTAGTAATATTAGACGTCAATAACCAACAATAACTAACCACAGGGATATTAAGAGGGATATTCATCAATATAGGAACATGGAAAATTCCAGAAATCACATAAATAGGATCGCATTGGTAAGTCCAATGATTCACTTGAATATGCTCACCAACAATGATCCCTATCTTTGCCACAGGATCCCCTTCATCCGTAGGTGGTGTGACACGACCACGTCGAGACACATCAAAGCGCCCAAGATAGCATGGCCGGCCTCGTGGTACGCCACCAGCTTCTTCTTTTGCTCGGACATCACAGCGTCCTGCAAGAATCTGCAAGATATGGAGAGAATTTCTTGAGATGCAATTCATTGCAGATCTGTTGAGTCTGTTGAAATGGCTTTCGAATTTGGACGACAAGTTGTGATAGGAATCAGTTAATAAACCAGAGTTGGACCCAACAGTATCATTTCCGGTTGAAGAAGCTGGCCGAGCTGGCCATTCTCAAGTCACAAATCGGTTTTTCCTGAGAACGGATGAACTCTTACCATAGATTTCTGGTGGTTTTGATCTATAGATTACTATAGATAATATTTGACATCAATACTGGGTTTGTCTGAACATCGGGTATCCTGTAATGCCATTGTCTATTATCATGTTGCGTAATTATAGAAATTGCCATTTGCTGGTTATATATCCCAACCACATATGATTTGTAGATAAATCATGATAAATCCCCCAAGCTATGAGTAGACGATGTTGTGAAACAAATATCATGAAAATAATTCAATCAGAATTGCTGGTGACATGAAAAGTCACAATTATTATGTTTCCACCAATGAAATCCCATCATCATTAAATCCACATGAAAATTCCCATGGCGTTTTCCTCGGGGATTCGGGGTTCATCCCAGCCTTCTTCTCCAGGCCGATGGCGATTCTCTCCAGGGCATTGAAAATATCCTCCGAGTCAATCTCCTCAATGATCGATGGGGAGAGTTCACCATGAATGCAGGGGAGTTCACCAAGAAACAACGAAGCATTGAAAATGGGGAGTGAACCCTAGCCAACAATGAACAAATTGGATTTAACCACTAAAAATTGGGAATTTCACCCTGAAAAATCATGATTTAATCATGAAAAACAATGGATTTAACCATGAAACTTGGGATTTGATGGGATATTACTGGGATAGTAATGACCCTCTGGTGATCGAACATAGTTTGCTGGAAAACTATCCTTTTAGTTCAATATAGTTCAATGATTTTCCCGGCTACAAACGCCATTTAGAAAAGAAACGGATTTCAAGTTTGCCATTGTTGATTGCCAGAGGGTAGATCTCCACGAATTGTGGACTTAGGGGATTTGGGGGATTTCGGAACCAGGGTCTTATATATATATATATATGTATACATACAGACATATCAACATTATTAACCAATGATCCTGTTGTTTGTTCATCTTGAGGAATGTTTCAAACGTTGGGGAGTGATTGGGTTTCTAGACTTGGGGGTGATCAAGAAGAACATGTTGAAAGATGTGAAGGGGCCGATTTACAAGGGCCAAAACTTTAAGCTAAAAATGGGGAAAATCCAGGGATATTCTGAACATGGCAGGTGGTTTCACAACAGTCGTTGACCTGGGCCTTGAGCCAATCCCTGGCTGAAACCCAGACATTTTTCTGCCGCCGTGCTTCTGATTTGTTCTGACGGGCGGCCACAATGGCACCTGCATTCGGATGGACAGCATTGGTGACTGCTTGGAACTAGATGCCACTGCTTTGAGATGATTACTGCAGTTCTCAAATAGCTCAGCGATTTGAGCGATCGACTGTAGTTCTGATCCCATTGTTCAGTATTGCTCCAACTGGCAAAACCAGCTCCCATCTTCAAGGCCACCAGCCCTCATGTGTCAATGGTTTGTTTTTAACTTCCAAAATCTCCCACCATTCCTACGCTTCAAAAAGGCCCCATACCCGAAGGGTTGTGCCGTTTTTCCTGCGCCTTCTACAAGCATGGTAGATCCCCCATTTCTGACCAACCCATCATCTAACCTTCCTGGCTTAGATACCTTTTGAAACCGGTTTGAAACCCCGTCATCCAACCTTAATTTCTAAACCGATCGAATCATAGATGTATCATCATGTATGAACCATGAATCCAACACCTAGCATAGTTACACCGAAACTTACCTATCTGACTTATCGTGTGGGGGCCCAATGGCGGAAATCTTCAGATACTCTGCAACAAAATACGTCTTAGCTGGTTAGACAAATATATCCCCAATGGTTCGCCAAAATATTTGGGTAATGTAAAGTGCCCATGTTCAATCTAAAGCAATCATCGGCAATCATTCCATGTTTATATTCCGAAAATATGTCTTTACCTGGTTTCAGACAATAATCCATTCGCCCCAATATTAAACACACCTTAGAAACCATGGTTTAGTCGGGGATTTACACATTCTATGGTGGTGTTTGATATTAGAGGAATCAAATCATATGAAGTACTAGAGTCTACTTGGTGGCTCGTCCCACTTACTAAGTATAGGTTATATCCCTGATTATAAGTGAAATAAGTAGGATTAATCCACTTATAACTAGGGTTATAACCTACTTATTCAGTACGATGAGCCGCCAACTAGTAAAGTAGTTGGTTTCAGATAGTATAAATATATATATATATTATATATATATTATATATTATATATATATTATATATATTATATATATAAGTTTCCCAAAGCAGGGGTACCCCGAAATCGCCCATGTTATTTTCGGATATTATAAACCATGCAGCTATTGGTACCACCATTAGAATTCACCTCCATGTATTTCTTAAACATTCCTCCGTACCTGGTTGACCCAGCATCCCCAGTTGCGTCGCCGCCCAGCGCCCCAGCCTTCATTGAGGAGGTTGGCCAAATCAGCTCCCGACATCCCCGGCGTCTGTCGGGCGATGGCAGACAGATCCACACCCGGAGCCAAGTTCTTGTCCTCGGTGAAGCGATGAATGCATAGGCGTGGATAAATTAAAGGCCAACAAAAACCAATAATGTTCATTGGAAAATATTAGAAATAGTCAGTAAAAATATATGTAATATCTATAATTGTAATTTCAGGTTTTTCTGGATGTTAACCATTGTTATTATTATTATGCACTAACCTGAAATCAGGCGCCCTTCAGGATAGTTAATCCTTACTACCCATCATTACAGGCGTCGCAGTGAGGTCACCATAATTTATCCAAATAGATGGATATATTGCCTTACACTTGGGGGTGCATCCCAGGAATTGTAAGTGGCTATTGGCCCCTATGTCGGAATATCCTCAGTTTTATGTCGGGCTTATTTTTGGGGCTGTAAACCACTGGCCTGGTATGGGTAGTTTTGTAGCAACCCCAAGGAAAGATAGAAAAGTAAAACCCTATTGACTAGTGAGGAATTGCGTTTCTATCTTTTGGGGGTTACTGCAAAAGATGTGCTAAAAACAATGCAACTCTTCAATAAAAGCTCAACCTTCATGTGGTTAACAAAAATGTGAAAATGACTTTACTTCGAGTGATCCCCACCGTGACAACTGATTTTGTCATTGTTTTTGACATCTCATCTGGAAGCATGTAAGGCATATATTGTCTGACATTCTATTTTGGCATTCTATCTAACATTCTAATCAGAGATTCTATTGTGGCATATTGTGGCACTCTATCTGGCATCTATTCTGACATCCTATCTGACATCCTTTCTGGCATCTATTCTGACATTCTTTCTGGCATTCTATCTGGCATTCTATCTGGCATCTATTCTGACATGGGCACTGCCGGACCTTGACGTCCGGCGCTGCCCACTGAGACCTGAATCTCGCGGTTGAGGTCCTGCAGTGCCCACTGAGATCTAGCGCTCGCGGTTGAGGGACGAGGAGAAGAGGAGAGGGAGAGGACAAGGAGGAAGCAGCTCTGATAAAATCTAGAGACCCTCACCTGGCAGGTGGGGAAAAAGGCTCTTCCATAGAATTGATAGATGGTGTATAAAGTTTCAAGTACAGTACCTAATATGTTTATCTTCATATGTGCCATGGTCAAATAATGGTATATGGTTTATGGTCATCCATCCCGCATTAAGAATCCTGAACAAAATGTTATATAGATCATTACAAATCCCTATGAACATTGATTGATTATTCGCGTCCCCCAATCTGGATATACAATCCAACTTGCTACCATGGCACATAGGAATTCACAGGAACCGAGTCATGAACTGAGTCATGAGTCATGCCCTAATCATGAGGACAACTGCCTTCGGAGAAAGGATCCATGTTTTAGGGTGAGATCACTGGCCATATAAGGGAATATACCTCTTTTCAATATGGCATGAACCATGGCATGAAACATGGTACAGTCCAATTTAGGTACCATTTCAATGGTACCAAAGATGGAAGGATGGTCTAACCGTCTAACCATATAGGCTCCACATATCATGATGGAGCTGATAGCCCTGCTCCCAGCCTTGGCATGCACCTTCAAAATCGCCACCCGGCCCTGCACATCAGGCGGGTCCACCTGCCGCGTTGCGATGGATGTAACAAATAAACGCTGTTGGAGCTATGGATGATCATATATGGATCTATATATATAATTATATACATATATATATAATTATATATATATGTGTATGTATATAATTGTATATATATAATTGTAAATATATATATATACAATTATATATATATATGTATATAATTGTATATATATATATAATTGTATATATATATATATGTATATGATTGTATGTATATATATATAATTGTATATATATATGTATATATGTATATAATTGTATATATTATATAATTGTATATATATATATATATCTAATTGTATATATATATGTATATAATTGTATAATTGTAAATATATGTATATAATTGTATATATATAATTGTATATATATATATATATGTATATAATTGTATATATATATAATTGTATATATATATGTATATAATTGTATATATACATATAACTGTATATATATGTATATATGTATATAATTGTATATATATAATTGTATATATATATATATGTATATAATTGTATATATATAATTGTATATTTATATATATGTATGTATATAATTGTATATATATATATATATTGTATATATATATATATTATTGTATATATATAATTAATTGTATATATATGTATATATAATTGTATATATAATGGTATATATATATGTATATAATTGTATATATATATATAATTGTATATATATATGTATATATGTATATATATATATGTATATATGTATATAATTGTATATATTATATAATTGTATATATATATATATCTAATTGTATATATATATATATATGTATATAATTGTATATATATATAATTGTATATATATATAATTGTATGTTTATATAATTGTATATATATATAATTGTATATATGTATATAATTGTATATATATATATATATGTAAATAATTGTATATATATAATTGTATATATATAATTGTATATATATATATGTATATAATTGTATATATATAATAATATATATATATAATTGTATATATATATAATTGTATATAATTGTATATATATAATAATATATATAATTGTATATATATAATTGTATATAATTGTATATATATATAATTGTATATATATATGGCATAGACATGATATAAATTAAAAGAATGCCAAGAATCATTCTTAAGATACGAGAAAATCATTCCATAAGTTCTCAAGCGTTCTGAATTTAGGGTTGGGTGTAACTCTTTCGTCTCCCTGGACTATACCCAGAGTGATTCTCCAGTTTCCATGAACATCTTTCCTGTTGACCCTTTTTCAGATGGCCAACAGATTCCATTGCTCGTGCAAAAAAAACGCGTGGGGCAGGTCTTCCTGTGCTCCACAATCAGAAAATAACTCGGAGACGGACCCCCAAGAAGTGCTATTTCCAAGTTCAGCAAATCATCCCAGGTCCCAGCTGTCCCAGGTCTGTTTCCTGCCATCCTGCCTGAATCTGTCGATCGAAGCGGCCCGGTCGCACCAACGCCTGATCCAAGATGTCCGCGCGATTGGTGGCTGCGATGACCACCACGCCCTTGTTGCTTTCGAAGCCTAAAAGGACGGGACCACTGACCACTGATCTCTGAGGAGATCATGGGGGATCTATATATATGTAACATATGTAACAATATAGAGCATATGTATATATAATGTCTATGTAACATACATAATATATGTATATATGTATATATGAGTCATTAATCACTTGGGGGCCAAAAGCTTTGCAAGTAGGTAGGGGAAAGTGAGAAACTCTTGAAACCACCAGCTCACTAAGGCCCATTGTGGGCACTGGTCGTTTGATTTGTAGCTGTAAAAAACTCGTTTGAGAGAATGAGTTTGGATCATCAGTATGTCAGCATCGTCTCCAAAAACATGATGGAATTTGGATCGTCAGAATATAAATCAGCATCATCTCGAATAAGACATGCTGGGGGAACAAAAAAAAGCAATGGTCAATTTATGGGGCTGTCTGAAAAATAGGGTACCGCCCCATCAACTGGTTAATCAGCGGTTTCCCTATGAATAAAAAGAGCCATTGTGGGGGGGGGTATACCATCATTTTTAGACGCACTCAAGTAATCATGGTTGGTTAAATACACCATTGTATCCTTATATCCCCAATACCTCCCCATCACATCCCATTAAATCCCATTAACTAAATCCGTAGTGTTTTCCCATTATATTATCATCAAATGCCATGTATTGCTTGGTGATATCACCATTTTCCCGTATTTTAGTATTTCATTGGCTTTAAGACAGACCCTCATCCCAATTTCTAGATCGTATCTAGATCGTATCTAGATCGTATCTAGATCGTATCTAGATCGTTTATCCAAATCATCATAGAGTTCCCCTGGAAAAAGCCCACTATATCCCCGTGATATACCCATTTGTTCTACTTAAATTGTCTCTATGGTTGATCTTACAAATATCAACTTTTCCATCACAATTGGTTGCTGAAAATCCATATATTTCACACTAAATCCCATGAAAAATCCCGATGTGTTGCTGATGATATCTCCATGTGCCATATTTCATGGCTATATCCCACTATATCCCGCTATATTTTCTCTCTACATTAGCCTTTTTTCATCTTTTTTCCTAGTGAAATTCACCTTTATTGACACCAGCCATCTTACGCGACCAAGTCGCCATCCATCTCTGTCAGAAGCTGATTCACCGTCTGCTCGCGCTCATCGTTGCCTGGCCGCTCTCGTGGTAGCTGACTGGGGAAGTTCAGCCTCAATGCCCATATCAATTGATGTTCCAAAAAGGCCGGATTTGGGGCTACATATATCATTTAATATACCCCCCATTTTCAGGTACCCAAACCCATATATATATATATATATATATATGGATATATATATATATATGGATATATATATATATATGGCCCATGTATCACTCCATCGGGTTCCAAGGCCGTTTCGCGGCCTTGGCCGAAACCAGCGGATCGCTGACGGCCCACAGCATCAATCTCATCGATGAAGATGATGCAGGGAGCATTCTTCTTGGCCTGATTTGGGACCCCGAGATCAGTTGAGTCGGTGGTTTATCAGCTGAAACCTATGTCCAAGAAGTGTGCTAATATGTGTATATAAGATAAACACTCATCACTGATATCATGATATGTCATGATATACCTTGATATATCATGATATATCATGATGTGTATATATATATATATATACATAATATGTATATCATGTCATGAACATGAAAATATACGTACGTAAGTCTCCTTTTGTCCGCCCTTGCCGCCACACCGGCTCCGCTCCTGTTCGAAGAGATCACGAACACGGGATGCGCCGATCCCCGCGAAGATCTCCACGAACTCCGACGCGGAGATGCTGAAGAAGGGCACACCGGCCTGGCTTTGTACCCAAGATATAGGTGTCCTAAGCTATGGGTATACCCATGGGAATTTCAAGCCCACAAATTTGAATATATATATATACTATATACGTATACGGGTTATAACACCTAGAAAACATCCTATAACTATAGTGAAGTTGGAATGGTCATAAGATGGTTCCAATGGAATTTAAGCCCATAAAGTTGGGGGTACCCCCATGACTTAGGAAACCTCCATGTAACTTGATCCAACAAAAAAGGGGAACATGAAAAAATAGTCAAAGCCGCCGTAACCAGTTTGGATACCAGTTCGGATAATGTCTTGTTTCCTTCTTTTCTTTTCACACACCAAAAATCTGATACTTTACAATACTTTACCAAATGGATAATTCCCTGAATAATTCCCATAGATAATTTACCACTGATGGATAATTCCATGGGAATTCCAAGTGAGTCCTCTTTTTGTCCCCCCAGACAATCGTCCAGGCCTCGCCGGCCACAGCCTTGGCCAACAAGGTCTTTCCGGTTCCTGGTGGGCCCACAAGCAGCGCTCCTTTGGGGATCTTAGCGCCAAGCTCCGAATACCTCGATCCAGGTGATCCAAGATCTGCCAGGTTCAGACCGAAGATGACCGAAGGGGGGTGTCAAGCCATTTGGCTTCAGAGACCAAAAAAATCCAAGACGCCTACAACCAAAAAACAAATAGCCTACGTTACATGCAAAGTGATTTAAAGAAACTTCAAATCTGCTCCGAATAGCCACTTTGCTCTATAAAGAAATTAAACTTAAATCCTTAACCCATAGGATCCATGGTGCTGCTATATATGGTAACATGGATCCCATCAATATACCCCCAATGTTAGCATATATACCATACATGGATCCTATGGTGATGCAATAGAAACGGCCTACTTCTGAAGCACAACGCTCGCGGCCTCGAGGTGTTCTTCAGGAAATCGACCACCTCCACCAGTTCCGTCTTTGCTCCGTCGCAGCCTGGTCCCAGGAAACCCCACAAAAGGAATATAATATTAGGGATATTATATTATATTGTATTCTATTATACTATATTAATTATATATACTATATTATATAGTATATATAATATTATATACTATATTATACTATCCCTACCCCTATAGATGGGGAGGGCGTGGGGGGACAAAACCAACCTGTCGAATTCCACCATGTTTTTTTTGCAGTAAGCATGTAAGCGCCCGTTAGCAATTGATGTCTCTTAGCACTGGTTAGAAAATACTTCCGCTTATCTCCGGAGGAGCTAAGCGCAAGTATGATGACGGCAGCGTAATTTTTGGAGGGATGCCACCCCTACACAATGTGCTGCTTCAGTCTGACATGTGCTTAGCTCCTCCGGAGCTAAGCGCAAGTATTTAATTTTTGTCTGCTTGCCAATGACATGGAATGACGAGGAATATTGATCATTGAGAAAACATGATTGCAAAAATGGAATTTAAAAATGAAATTTCAGTACGACTCCCCCCCTCAAATTTCATGTTTAAGAGGGTGGGGATATTATATTATATTATATTATATTATGAATTCTGGCACCGGGTTTGTGAGAATTAGTGACCACCTCAAAAGAAAAACAATATATAACTTATCTGTTATCACAAGATTCACAAGTAAGAAATCACACATTGAGTCCCCTGTTTAGGCCATTTCCCCATTGATAGCACCTTGAAGATCTGAAGTTGATCCCCGCCTGCCACGTCGGCAAATTTCACCTTGGTGTCTCCGTCCTTGATGATGCGCGCCTTGGATTTGCCCAGCTCGAAAGGATTTCCGCCGGGGCCACCAGGGCCGCCAGGGCCTGTCATGGAGATGTCCCACAGCTTTGAGGTGTCAAGGCCAAGTTCAACTGTTGTGGGGTCTTGTTTGAAGGCCATGACTCTTATCAGAAACTGCAAGACATGTGTACACATGTTGTTCGAATCTCCAAAACATGTAGATCCTGCGAGAGTCTTCAGTAAAACAAATGTTCACAAAAAACCTGCCAACCAAATTGCCAGTTTCAAACGTATGTCGCTCAATGTTCCACCAGTCCCCCCGCGACTCCGCGCAAATATCTCCACCTCCAAAAGGTAGGCCACCGAAAAGCAAGAGCAGCCCCGCGATGAGCCAGGCAATGGGTCCCGCGAAGCGTGCCAAGAAATCCAAGGGGGAACCTCCAGCAGAGGCGTTCTGCATCACCTGAAAAAATCGTTGAAACATCGGTGGAAAATCAAATATGGGGATGATATATCTCTGGTGTAGCAGATCAAATAGGAAGTGGATGAAGTAGCTGTTTCAAGGATGGATAGGAATTCAGTGGTGAATATGTTGCATTTTTGCAAATCTGGGCATTGTTTGTTACAAGATGGCACCTCCTTTTGAGGCAAATTGTTCTCATCCATTGTTATACCCGTAACAATAAATACCACCCCTGTGATATGTGCTTTCAGATAGATAGATAGATAGATAGATCGATAGATAGATCGATAGATAGATCGATCGATAGATAGATAGATCGATCGATCAGATAGATAGATCAGATAGATAGATCAGATAGATAGATCAGATAGATAGATCAGGTAGATAGATCAGCTAGATAGATCAGATAGATAGATAGATCAGATAGATAGATCAGATAGATAGATCAGATAGATAGATCAGATAGATAGATCAGATAGATAGATCAGATAGATAGATCAAATAGATAGACCAGATAGATAGATCAGATAGATAGATCACATAGATAGATCAGATAGATAGATCAGATAGATAGATCAGATAGATAGATCAGATAGATAGATCAGATAGATAGATCAGATAGATAGATCAGATAGATAGATCAGACAGATAGATCAGACAGATAGATCAGACAGACAGACAGACAAATAGGATAGGATAGGATACGATACGATAGGACAGGATAGGATAGGATAGGATCGGATCGGATTAGATAGGACTAGATCGGATTAGATAGGATTAGATCAGATTAGATAGGATTAGATAGGATTAGATAGGATTCGATAGGATTAAATAGGATTAGATAGAGAGGATTAGATAGGATTAGAAGAATTAGATAGATAGGAATAGAGATAGGAATAGAGATAGGAATAGAGATAGGAATAGAGATAGGAATAGAGATAGGAATAGAGATAGGAATAGAGATAGGAATAGATATAGGAATAGATATAGGAATAGATATAGGAATAGATATAGGAATAGATAGTAATAGATAGGAATAGAAAGGAATAGAAAGGAATAGAAAGGAATAGAAAGGAATAGACAGGAATAGATAGGCATAGATAGGGATAGATAGGAATAGATAGGAATAGATAGGAATAGATAGGAATAGATAGAAATAGATAGGAATAGATAGGAATAGATAGGAATAGATAGGAATAGATAGGAATAGATAGGAACAGATAGGAACAGATAGGAACAGATAGGAATAGATAGGAATAGATAGGAATAGATAGGAATAGATAGGAATAGATAGGAATAGATAGGGATAGATAGGAATAGATAGGAATAGATAGGGATAGATAGGAATAGATAGGAATAGATAGGAATAGATAGGAATAGATAGAAATAGATAGGAATAGAAAGGAATAGAAAGGAATAGAAAGGAATAGATAGGAATAGATAGGAATAGATAGGAATAGATAGGAATAGATAGGAATAGATAGGAATAGATAGGAATAGATAGGAATAGATATAGGAATAGATATAGGAATAGATATAGGAATAGATATAGGAATAGATAGGAATAGAGAGGCATAGATAGAGATAGATAGGGATAGATAAGGATAGATAGGGATAGATAGGGATAGATAGGGATAGATAGGGATAGATAGGGATAGATAGGGATAGATAGGGATAGATAGGGATAGATAGGGATAGGTAGGGATAGATAGGGATAGATAGGGATAGATAGGGATAGATAGGGATAGATTAGATTAGATTAGATTAGATTGGATTGGATTAGATTAGATAGATAGGATTAAATAGGATTATTTAGGATTAGATAGGATTAGATAGGATTAGGTAGAATTAGGTAGAATTAGGTAGGATTAGATAGGATTAGGTAGGATTAGATAGGACTAGATAGGATTAGGTAGGATTAGATAGAATTAGATAGGATTAGATAGGATTAGTAAGATAGGATTAGATAGGATTAGATAGGAAAAAATAAGATAAGATAGATAGATATATAGATGTGAAAAAAAAATGTATATGGATATTCGAATATGTATGATTATAATGTTTATATGAAGCCATATATGTACTGTAAGTAGTCATAGATATCTTCCAATATGATTTCCACATAATCATAAATGTGTCATATGATCATGTTTTTATTATATGTGTCAGATCCCCAGATCCCCAGACTCAACTATTTTGGGCCAAGCTTTTGTTCATTCAAGGCACAACGTCCACTTTCTTGTCTGCCAGCTGATTGAAGAGCTGATCTTCGATCTGTGCGTTGGGAATCAGATTCACTTCACGCCTGGAGCCATCCTGTGGCAATGGATGGCACACATGTAAAAATGCATAGATATAATGTATAGATATTATTACCCTCCAGTAAATTAACATAGACCCTGGTAGATAGGGGTTGGAAGATTAGTTTCCTCTAAAAATTGGTGATTTTGAGGGTCTATGTTAATTTACCAGAGGGTAAAATATATGGACATTATGAATAGAGATAGATCATTTGATGATTAACCATCAAATTCAGAAGTATGCCCCTTTTTTCGACAAAGCCACATGTTAAATGAAGATAACGTGGGATGCATTAGCTCTGGCCATTCCCCAAGATGGGTTAATCTCATATAACTCTTGAATACTTTAGACCATGGCATGTATTTGTACTGTATGTATACACGTATAGATATACAATGATATACAAATAATATGATACAGTATGTGTATGTGTATAATTATATATACACACACACGTAGATACATAGATATATAGCATCTTATGTTAGTCCTTATTCTTGCCGATAAAGTTCGACACCTCTATGTTTTTGCTGGTTACCCCACCCATATGTGGGTTTGCGAACAAAAACAAGGCTGTAAAAAAAATCGCCATCCAGTGGTGTGGAAAAATATGTTCCCCAGCATGTCTATAAAGTATGTGTATGTATATATATATATGTATTTCTGGACAGATCGGCCAGGCTTCCCAAAAACCATCTTTTGCTCGCCTGATGATGATTTGATGAACAGTACCAGGAATAAAAAACTAGTAAAATGGTATCTAGGCCATAAATGGTGCTCCATTTTTTCAGGTATTTCACCAAAGTCAACAGTGAACTGTCCATGGTTCCAATGATCCCAGGACCTCAAGGAGGTTTGCTGATTCCGAAACCCAGAAACCCGGCGACTGAATACCTTGGCGACGTATTCATGAAATACTGTTCCATTTGATGTTGCTACATCTTTGATGCCTAAGACTTGTTTTTGTTTTACATATCTTACATATTTGGCAGCTAGATTCCCTATAAAAATAGTTTTTATGCACCGGGAAATTCCAGAACGGCCCAGCCCGGAAAGCCCCTTGAAACACCCCCCCGTTGTCCTTGGTGGTGTATTGGGCTGACAGCATGTCGTTCTGCACCCGAACCATCTCCACTTCGCCCTTGTTGATGGAGTCCAGGAAATCGGAGTAGTTGACCACGTCGCCGGCGTGTGCAGGCCTGAGTTTAGTGACGACCGGTACGAACTATGAAATGAGGCACTCAGATTCATGCACTATCCATGGTTTTTATTGAGTTTCATATGGGTTAAAAATATGTGTTGTATAATATGGGGTTATATGTATATATATATATATTATATATATATATATTATATATATATGTATGTATATATATATGTATATGTATAATATGTATATATATATTACATATGTGGATTACATGTGGGTTCTAGATATGGTATATAATAGTATGTAAAAATTGGCTACAAACCAACTACTAACTGAGACGCGCGTCCAAGTAGTCAGCGGTGATATGCAGTGATAATGGTGATGATCATGGCGATGGTGAAAGTGTGGTTGGCGATGATCATGAAATATGATGAAATCCTAATGACCATGGTGATAAGGAAGTATCAACTTATCATCATGATGTTCATATCATGGTCACATTCCTCATATGGTCGAATTATCATAGTCAGAAATCATGTTTAATACGAAAATTGTCCATAGCCATGTTGAATTTCCAGAGGGTAGCATCCACTGCACCATTCTAAGAAATCCATTTCATCACCGAGCCGCTGCAAAGCCATGCTCTGCGTGAGCAACAGGGATGCCGCAATGTTCGCCATCCAGCGGAGGGGACTGTCGCTAGAAGCATCCTGGGACTGGGATTTGGGATAGAGACAGGTTTGAGTTTCACGGACCTGTTCCAGGAAAGCCTCATATCTATCCTTCAACTACACAATTCTGCACAAACCAGGAGTAGATTCAGAAAATGCCATGAAAAAATGGCTCAACCACAAGACCATCAACCTATATCAACCTATATCAACCTATATCAACCTCCAATCCTCTCGCATGTTTTCCATATGTTTCCCCCCATGGAATTTGTCCACCCCCCATCAGGGCCTTCTGTCGCAGCTCCTTGGCCAGGGCCTTCACCTCCTGTAGCCGGCCTCAAAAGGTTTGGGGAAATCGGCCAAAATGGGTTAATACCTATATATATATAATGTATATACCTATATATATATATAGATATAGATATAGACATAGACATAGAATGACATAGATATAGACAATAAATAGAGTTATATATGTGCATTATATGTACACACATATACACATGCACGGACCCTGAGACAGGCTTTTGAGACATGTAGCTTTTGGTATGGCAAGGCATTAACAGGTCTCAGGAGGTCCTTCGACCAGCTATTAATTATTACTCCTTCCAAGCTATGTCTTAAGGATCATTTAGGTGGTGTATGCACTCTGAAGTCAGTATGCACTCCTTTTTTGATAGTAATAGTGCAGACTTAATATGAAAAAGCTAGGGACAGTGCTTGTTTATACCAATAAAACACCAATGCTCCCTTTGGGAGACTTTCTTTACTTTTCTTTAGAGGAATGCCACCTATTGAAAGGAAAAGTATGTTTTTCAAGGAATGCGGCGCTCTTTGAATGAAGGTGTTGGTTGCACACATTGTCTCATGACAATTAGATTTGTTTCTTCCATCTTCTCAAACTAAAATACATGTTTGAAAGGCAAGTGAATTTCCTTTGAAGGAATGCTGCACCCGTTTCAAGAATGCCCTGTTTGCTGCAAGGATATTCTACAACATATGGCTTCCTTCAAGAAATAGTTTGCTTTCTGCAAGAGAATGCTAAACATGGTAGATCTTTGGGCGGGTTAGCATATACCCCCCCTCCCCCGATACCACCCCTGAGTGTTTAAGCATGTGTCAAAAACACTCTGGTTTACAGCATACTATGAAAAATGGTGGGTACCGGGGGGGGCGGGGGGGGCTATATACCATGTATATATATATATATTACACATATAACTTAGCTTAAAGTATATTATTAGATGAATGTGTTTTTTGCACAATATATGAAGGTGAAAAAGATCTGCTTACGCATGATAAATTCCATGGTAATCATGTGGTTGTCATAAAATCTCTGGATTATGGCAGAACATCTGGGCTTAAAGTTAACTGCAGAACTTCATATGGGGACAATTTTAATGAATGACATCATCATTGCATCGCTGAGGTCTCAGGGCAATTTCCTCTCAAATGGAATCATAAGTATATCAAATATGATATACTGACCCCAAAAAAAATAGAAAAGTAAAATTTCACGAAAATAGTGATGAATTACTTTTCTACCCTTTTGACGGTTACTACAAGTTTTATTGTAGTTCATACATCAGATGTTCTGCAAAATTGCCCAGATTGTTACCGTAGCAGCCGTAGCAAATGATCTCAAGTTCCCAGATTTATATGGAAGCCATCCCCAAATGATCCCATGTGATCAAACTTTCCTATACTTCCCCAGAAAAATTAGCTGGATAAAAGCACCGAGCCGCCCTGATCTGGCTTTTGCAGGAGTTCCTGGACCTTTCCCACCAGCTGATGAAGTCCATTCTCCTGGAGCAACCCCTGGTTTTCAGCTTCAAAGGTGCAGAATGCCAGTGTTGGAAGCATGAAAATTGAAAATGTGCTGTCCTGAAGATGCTTCCACATCTTCCACTACGCAAAATGATCAATTTTAGGGGTGTTGGGGCCCACACAACTAGTTCATACAGAAAACATCAGCAGCTCCTCAGAGCCGTTGACCTTCACAGCCATCGCAGCTTTGTGGCTACGGTTGGCCTTACGACCTGCTAGCTCTGGCAACGATTTCAACTGAAAGCCAGGAAACCCCCTAGAAATTCTGACCATCCAAGTTCAATTCCTGCATCTTTGTTTCATGAATTCCGAGATTTCTAATTCAGTAATTTCCAATGAGTTCCCATGATTTCCAATGATTTCTCGTGATTTCCATGATGTGTTTCCCTCAACTTCTGGGACTTTCAGCCCCTCTCCAGCTTGTCATCACAGCCATGGCACGTGCTGTGGCAGCCGCAGTGGCGCCCATCGCCCCGGCCGCGGCCACGGTGGTCGCCAGCGACGCCCCGGCACCGCGCGGCGGCGCTGGCGCTGCGACGGGATGGGCTACCTGCCAGGGCTGTCGGGTGCAGTACCCCCCCAAAATTATCCCCCCAAAATAGTTGTTTCACTAAGGAAAATGGTGGTTTACTAATTGATTTACTGGATCTTATTTTACTGATTTAGATTGTGTACAGATTTACTAATTTAAAAATCCCAAAATAGTTGTTTCATGTTGTTTCACTAATTGATTACTTGGTGATTTTTCAGATTTACTCATTGAACGAATGGATCGGTGATACCCATGGCCTCGAGTTGCCTGGGCACCTCGGTCCCTGGTGTAAGGAAGGCCGGAGCAACCATCAAGGCGGCAGCTGAGGCGCCTGGGCACGGCGCGGCTGGTGGCATGGTATGCCTTGGTAATAGCCTCCAGTAATCAAACATGGAATGCTGGAAAATCTACCCTCTGGTAATTTAACATAGCTATTGAAAATTGCCCATTTATAGTGGATTTTCCCATATAAAATGGTGATTTTCCATAGCTATGTTAAATTACCAGAGGGTACCATGTAAGTAGTGTGTTATAACAATTATTCATGGAAGTTCAGATTGATTTTATTACAGTCGATTACAGTGTTGATGGTGATTTGCAGTGTTTTTCTATCTTTTCGGGGGGGGGTTCATGGAGCATTTGCCTGGCCGTCTGCCTCCACTTTTATCCCCTAGCCTTCACCCCCCACTTTTGCTGGTGAACTCAATCAATGTTAGATATTTTATTGGTTACTACCTTCTACTAGTAATAAAGTCACATAGCTATGGAAAATCACAGCGCGCAATCATTTTTAGCCGGTAAATCATCTATAAATGAACCTATATCATGTGGCTTATAATGATCTCCAATGAGCCAGTTAGTATAACCCCCCATACATATATAGATATATGTGTAATTATGTATATTAGTATATATGCCGTTCAAATCACTAATTATGCTTAACAGCTCAATCATCAACGAGTCATTTTCGCTCGGTCACCGGAGATTCCGCGGCCTGCTACCAGCGGCACTCGATTTCCTCGCGACATTTTGCTGACCACCTCAGAAGGGGCTGGACAGAGCTGAACTTGGAGAAACTTCACCACTTTTGGGAGGTCAATCGGTCAATGTATATCAGATATACTGTATACATATTCAGAGTATAATATGTATTATATATATATACATATACATATATATACGTTATTATTATTATTTATTATTATTATTACTATCACATTTAGATATGATATACATGATCATTAATATATATGTAATGTATGTAACATTGTGTAAGATATGCATATCAGGGATCCCCGAGCAGGGATTGGCTCTTAAACCACCCCAGTCCGCGTTGCGGATGGGGGGCCGTGAAGTCGTTGGTTTTGGCCACCAACGAAGGGCCCTGCCAGGATGAGCCTAGGGCCTAGGCTTAAATGTTTATGTAATGAGTTTCGTATACATGGCAGTGTGTCAAAACCTTGTACCCCTGGTGAACATCAAAATAGCTGGTAAATGGATGTTCATCCCACTAAAAATGGTATTAATAGGTATTGATCCATACCCACATATTCCCATTACTTTATGGAACTATTGGAACATGCTAACAGTCCAACATCCCATCCGGCCTCGGAAAATGGCCAAACATTCGCCTCCGTTCGACTCTGAGATCCAGACAGCCATGACGGATTCTCCGCGGGTCGAAAAGAGCTGTTGGGGAGCGATCGGCCGGGCAATGGGCCAAAGTTCTCCGCGCATCAGTAAACGAAGCCTGCTAAGATATGAATATGATATGCTCCTAATAATATGGACACCCAAAATGGAGGGTTTCAATACTAGAGTTACTTCACCAGGATTCTAAGGGGAGTGGTTAAAATATGTCAAAATAAGATGTGGGTGAAGGGGTGAGTCGGGGTGAGCGGAGAATCCTATGGAAATCAGCAAGGTTGGGATCAACCCACTGTCAATGCTGTCGTCCAGATCAGATTCCACAGGGATTTTATCAAGAAATGATGACAAAATCCCTCATCTTGGTGGTCTGGTACCATCCTCAGCATAAACCGCAAACCCTGCTGGTGAAAATCTGACACTTGCGGAGCCTCGCCGTTCTTTCTGGGTCTCATGCACTTAAAGCCCACCAAGAAATCCTGCGGAATTGGGGGAAGATCAGCCACAGAATGGGCATTGCTAGCATATCTTAGCCAGCAAAAATTGAAGTTTTGTCCATCAGAACCCAACTGGAATAACTGGAATGCGTGAAAACAAACATGTGTTTCCCCATCCACCCACACAAGGAATGGGGAGAAATTAGCAAAAAAAAACATCGCTCATCCACAGGATGCATGCCATGACTATTGGAATTTCAGCAACACATGAACATTAAACACTGTCGTGATTTAGAATCGAGAAACTACCCAACAAGAACAATGTGAACAATGATTTCGACCAGCAAGGCTGAAGAAGAGGGACAAGACAATGTTGTAAACCCAATGCCATACGCCTATCATTTGGGGATTATATATGGTTACCAAGTTACCACCCATAAAAAATGGTGAGATCCAGGATGGTTTATGGCCATACTCGGCCTATCGTTTTCTCAATCTGCATGCCCCGCTGTTTAGCCCAAAAATCATTGAGAAATGCCCCCGAAGTCACCCTAAAAGTCATTGAAAACCACACATGTTTCTTTTTTTATCAAAACAACACCAAAAATATCCAAAAATCAAAATCTTAAAAAAATAACTAGTTTTCTCAGAAGTTTCCCATAGTTTCATATAGTTTCCCTATGAAAACGCGCCGTTTTTCATTGCGGCTTTCCCGGTCCTCAAGGGATGCTTGTGCCAGCAGAGGCTGTCCATTGGTCGCTGCTTCAAAGGCGGCCTGAAAATGGGATCTGAGCCTGGTGACTTTACCCACGAATTCTAAAGATATGTGATAGATGTATTCTTATACGCATGTTAATGTCAATTGTGTAAACGTAAATGTGTATAGATGTATACTGTATTTATGTAAATATCTATATGTTGAAATATGTAATGTATATGTATAGATATAATATGCATATGTGTATGTGTATATGTATATATGTTGTTCAAATGATATGTGTATATATATATATGTAAATGTGAATTTATACGATTCTTTCATGTATTGAGTGTGTACACGTTATTCATTTAGTTAGTTAGTTAGTTAGTTGGTTAGTTAGTTAGTTAGGAATATAGCTACAGTATTTATTTATCTATTTATTTACATGACATATGTATCATACATATGAGGCATATATATACATAATTATATACATAATATATATATACAATATGTCATATTATATGTATATATATATGATATATATATATATACATATATACATATGAATATATATATATATGATATATATATATATATTTACAGACATAGTCATGGCGAGCCAAAACTGCTCGCAATTTCTGGGATCGTACACCAATCCGTGCGGAAAATCGCATGCCGGCCGCCTCATATGGGACTGCGATACATATTTCTTGAGAATAGATGATAACCCATAGGATCCATGGTGCTGGTATATATGCTAACATAATTGGGGTATATTGATGGGATCCATGTTACCATTAATATAGCAGCACCATGGATCCGTCATGGGTTCTATGCAATCAGCAGGTCTGGCCTTGATTTGCCTCTCCAGAAGCTGCCAATAGTATCTCCGCGACTTGTTGTTGACCTCACAAAGGGAATGGCCGCAAAAACCTCTTCAGAAAATCGCTTGAGTCATGCAGATTGCTGTGACTGAGAATGGGAAAATGATGATTAACCAGTGGATTTATTTGGGCACATTAATCATTTTGTAGACAAGCCCCAATCACAGCGTGGTTTTTTTTTGTGGATCCGAACAGCGCATCTTTCTTTGGATTCTTCAAATCTGCGCCGTTGCAACTGCTCCTGGCAGGATCATACTAATCCGCGGAAGTTTAGATCTTGGATTCGTTCAACTACAAAATTATGGATTGATGCAAGGAAAACATCGAAGGAAACTATGGGTTTTTGCATGTTTTTTTTTACGGTAGAATTTTCAACCATTTCTGGGACCAAGTGGTATGTCGTCGGTTGCTAGGACGGTTCACCACCGAATATCCCACGATTCAGCGATCAACCAACAAGGGGCTGACTGTGCATTGCTCACTTGGAGATTTACCCCCAATTTGTCCTCTTTCAAAGTGAAACTCCCTGTAAAACCAACTTGTTGCTGGTTAGTTAAAACATGTTAAAACATCTTAAAACCACGTGAAAAAAATCGTTTTCATTGGGTCCTTTCACCACATAAACCATCCATCTTTACCAGCTTCAAGCCACATCTCTTGAGATCAAACATGATCAAACCCGCCATTTTCCCAAGGCCAACGGTCCGCCGTTGCGCCAGGCCGTCGCTTAAGGCCGGTCCTTCATGATATGCAGCCGTTCGCGTCGGTCCAAGGCGTCGCTGTACAAGAGCTCCGAGGTTGGAATCTGCCTGGGGTGTTTTTTGATGGTCATTTGGGGATGGATCATAACTATGGAAAGATCCACCATTTTTAATGGGTAAATCCACTATAAATCACTTAAATGATGATCCATACCATTTTTAATGGGATCAATGCCATTTAAATGTTGATCCCATTAAAAACCCACCTAAACAGAGTCTGAAAAAGTATATTGTTGGAAGACTCTTTGTAACCACATTTTTGCGCAAGGTGATTTCTAGATATGGGTATGGATCAATAGCTATTAGTACCATTTTAATGGGATGAACATCCATAAATCCCAGCTATTTTGATGTGAACTACAGGGGTACAAGGTTTTGACACACTGCCATTTCAGTGGGTGTTTTTAATGTGTGGCGCTGTTGAACAGTCATTTGTAAGTTCAGGGGTTTTGTGGGCTTCTAGGGATTTTTGATCGGGGTTTTCTCAGGTGATTTTGGATGGGGACTTGCTGGGATACAGCTTTATTATCACCCCAAAAGCCACTAAGTTGGAGCGTACCATACCCCGGTGGACAAACTCATATGATTGTTGGATTCAATGTCTGCAATCCCCGAATGTTTGTTGCAATACATTGGATTTGCTTAGGGCGCTTCAAAAGAATGTATATATAATCATATATATATAATATGGATATATATATATATAATATGGATATATATATATATATAATTATATATAAAATTATTTAACTATATGTTTTTCCTATAGTTTCCTCAGTCCTGGTGGCTTTCCCATTCAGAAAGCCATGCGATATTCGTCACCTAAAACCAGCCAGTTGTCTTCGGTCCCCAGAAAAAGCCATGCCAGCCATATATCCCATGACCAGATCCCCATGGTATGATGTTGGTTCGCAATCCAGTTATTAACTGGGGATAGAATGAGGATACAAAAACACTACTAACCAACAATTTCTGGGAATATGTCCAATTACTATTTTGTTGCTTAATGATGCTTAATGTTGGTTGCCCTCTGGTTATTTAACATATGGAAAAAGGCTCATTTATAGATTATAGATGTTATATGAATTTATTACAATGATGTCCCTACTATGCATGGTGATTTTCCATAGCTACGTTTAATCACCAGAGGATAAATCCCATGAAATACCATGAAAAATCATCATTCAATCACATGATATCCCATTAATGATGACTATTTCGTTGGTTAATGTTGGTTATATGTACATAGTGTGTCCCTCCCAGGATCCCAATGTCATGTCACCATCGATATCTGCGGATCGAAAGCCGGCCTTCTAGGCGGCGATTGCGCCCGTGGTGGGGACTGCACTTCAGCCTTTTTCGCCAGCGACGGGGTTTTATCATGGGGGAATGGCTTTCGGAAATGCCGAGAACATGGTACCCTCTGGTAATTTAGCATAGCTATTGAAAATGGCCATTTATACTTAGTTTTCCCATCAAAAATGGTGATTTTCCATAGCTATGTTAGTTTACCAGAGGGTAAATGATGAGAATCATTGGGCAGCCTTCAGCAAATGGATGATATCTGATGATATATGATACATTGTGACACCAAAAATTGATGGAGAATTCTGATCCTGTGAACCATCCCGATCCAGAACAACGCCCGTCGCCGGTCTCGGTCGCGGCCTCAGAATCTCGGTCGCGCTTCACAGCATTCTTCTTCTCCTCCTCGGCTTAGACACCGGTGGATGGTGGATGGATGGTGGATGGACGGTGGATGGAGTCGAAATTCTGGGGGAACTATGAACAACTCACTCCAGTAGTGCTGTGCCTCAAAGAAGAGTACCTTAAGAGTACCAAGTTTCGCGTGCTGAAAGATTTTGAGTTGACCACTGCAATGTTTTCAAAAGGCAAGCAAGACCATGATTTCAGGCCAATTGTATATAGCTATCTATGTGATATCCGCAATCTTCTCTCCAAATACTATGTTATGTATATATTATATCATGATGCTACTGTATACATCGTACATGCCAGTTAATTAATTACATATAGTCCTCCCATAGTCCCGCCTATACAAATCTTGTCCAGCTACAAACACTGCAATGCACATCTACGATCCAAGAATGGGAATGTCGCCTGCTGCAGTGCTGCATGGTAGAGACGTTCGAAGACGCTGCCGTCGCCACCTGCCTGGCGATTTCTGCGTGATATAACGGTGGAAATTCTTTGGTGATTTTTCACACATATTGAGGGGGAAAACCTTCGTGAGTTGTTTCAGTGAAGTATATTAAAACAATCTGGAACTGAAATTATCTGAAAGTATCTGGAAGTAAAAGCTTCTAGGGCATCCTAGGGCAACTACTTTGTGAGTCCAGCATCAAACATGAGAAAGCCAAAAGGTCGACATATCCCACTTTTCTCTCTGCCTCAGCTTGCTTTTGACTCCAGGCCTGGCCAAACGTTTGGATCCAACGGGTCATCACGTTACAATACGTGGGTTACGTACCGGGTAACGTACCGTGTATATATGTATGTATATATATATATATGATTATATATGTATATTATATGTATATTATATGTATATTATAATATTATATGTACATATTCTAGATACATATATATATATATATACATATACATATATTATATATACATCACATACATATATATATACATACATATACATATATATATATACATCTGTATATATATATACATAGATTACATATCATGGGTCATTTACGGGTGATATATAGATATGTACTTATAAGATATCATGAGGATATGTACAATATATCACACCCTCTCCCTCAATCAATCAGTTTGATACATTTTGAACCCTGCAGGAGCCCCCCGGGGATTTTAAGTTTGTTTTATAACATGTTATAACACCATCTAACTATTAGTGTTATATATATATACTATAGTAATGCCATACTATAGGCATTACTATACATATATCCAATTATATCCACCATATATCCAACAATAGGCCCATATTTGGGAACATGGCTTTCCCCATTTATGATTTTCACCCGCCTGCGCAAAGGGGCTGATCTTTGGCTTGAGTGTCAGCTCCGCGTAGTGATCGGCCTGATATCAACCATGACCCAATGGTCCGGCTGGGTATGGTTAGCATATGCCTGGTGTACGTCTGAGTGAGGAAACCAGGCATATGCTAACCATACCCAGCTATGCTAAAAAACTGAGAACCATTGGTTAGCTAAACCTGGACCTTGTCTGTTTGTCCTGTTATGTATGGTTAGCAGGTCCACCTGTTTCAAAAACTGAGGACAAACAGACAAGGTCCAGGTTCAAAATCTTCAATCGTCGCTCAGCGTCAGATCTACCCCCAACTTGGGATGGTAGTGTCAAAGCTTGTAAACCCAGCCCGGTTTCTGGTCGGAATGGCTGAATCATACATATATATATATAATTATATATATATAATTATATTTATATATGTATATATTTATATATAATTATATAAATTATATAAATTATATATTATATATAATAATAATTAAATATAATTAATAATGTATATCCTTCTGGGTGTTTAATATTTACCACATAAAAAAAAAAAAAAAATCCTCCTAAATCAACCCCTAATCTGGGCGTAGCCATCCTAGCCTCGGTAATCAACCATGGTAATGGGAAAATCCCCCCCATTCATAGATGATGTTTCCCTTAAAACCCTCCATTTAGAGGGGATTTCCAGCTTGCCACGTTTGATTACAGAAGGGTAAACTGTAAGAAAATCCTACCCCAGTAGTTTCAGGCTCTCAAAGCTCTCCATCGTTTCAACAGCTGCGCCTCCACTTGCTTCAGTCGCTGGTTCTTCATCCGCTGATCCCAGCCTCAATGTTTTTCGGCTGCAGCTGCGATGGATAAGGGAACTTTGTAAGCGGGGGGGTCTAAAGAAGAAGGCCCAACAAAAAGGCATCAAAGGATATCAAAGGGGCAAAATAATGGTCATTGCAGCGAGCAAATAATGCAAATATTTGGCTTTGAGGCATTGATTTCTCTTGATTTCCAATCAATTTCCGGATGTACCGAAGCTAAAACCCTTTGGTTCAACAATTCTGGAGCCCCTCCAAGCTATTTTTGCACCAGACCGAGGTCTTGAGCTGGGAAGCAAACGTTGAACCCACTTCCCTTCACCTGGTGTCGGACAGCACAGCTTCGACAGCTTCGATCAAGTCTTCCATCTGACCTGGACAGCCACTCCTTGAGGCGCCTGTCATGTCAGGCCGGGAAAAAGTTCGAGGGCTTCCACGCGGCAACGTCTTTGGTTGGAAGGTGCATTCCTGTGGCCGGGCCAGCGCCAGGATGAAGCAGCTCAAAAGGATATGCAAGGGAGGAATGCACATAACTCTTACATGTGTCCATGTTCAACTGACAAACATGAACGTCGCTGTCCGACGTCCCAAACTTCAGAGCACATGGCAAATATGTCATAATAAAAACATCTGAAAACAAATAAAGAATCCTATGGTGGGAATTGGTGGGATGCCATTGTTGGGTATATCCCTATTTTAACGGGTTAAACATAGTTAAACTATATTGAATCCTATGATGGCACCAGCTCCTGAGTCTCCTTTTGCCGGAGCTCATGCAGCAGCTGGGTTCGCCTGAAGGGGCGGCCCGAGGCTAAACTGGGAAAGTGAAGCTGTAAATATGTGCAAATCACTTTGCTATGTTTTTGGGAGTTCCTCTGTACATATGGAGCCCAAAAATTGATCAACAATATCAAAATATAGAAATGTCCCAGAGGAAGAGCACCTAAAGCCAGGTGTTGTGGTTCAAAGTCAGGTTTTACCCGGTAAACCTGAAGTGTTGGACAGAATTTCAAAAACAAATTCAGTTCATGTCAGGAATGTGAAGTTTTTCAGTGTGGCAAGCAGAGAAAGACAAACTGCAAAAAAAACACCTCCCCTCCTGGCGGTCCATCGACAGCACTGAGTCTCCCGGCTTCTGAGAGGATCGTTGGACCATGGCATCATGATGCTCAGCAAGCCGACTATCCTTCCATTGCTTCCACATCTTCTGCGTCTCCTCACCTGGTGATGGAAACCCAGATTCTTTGGTAAATACCTTAAGCAAGGTTCCAATACCAGGATGCAGCCGAATCGTACCCATACACGGGCTTCCGTTTCATCCCAGTCAATTAGCGCTTCTCAGCAAACCCAAGAAAAGTACTTATCCCGTCGAAACATCACAAGCTACGGGCCCATCAGGTCCCAAATTGGTGCTCTGGGACACCGGGCTGACTGCAAGACTTTCCCTCTGTACCTGGCACAGGAAGCAACATGTCATCCACATGTTCAGATTTGGTGTTCTCCACCGCCAAATTGTACAAATGCCTTGGGGAAACATGGGAATACTCCGAGACAGATGGAGGTGGAGCACCCCAGTTTTCACAGGGAAAACTGTTCATACAAAGATGACGCATGTGTTCGCTTCAAGGCTAGCTACTTAGAGGGAGAGGGGGAGAGAGAGAGTGCCCAAGCTTCATGATTTTGGCAGTTGTCTCAAGAGAGTACCCGCCACGGTTTACATCTGCACAACAAATTCTAGACGCCGCCAATAAAGGCAGCCGGCAACACCATATCTTCATACTTGTCAGGTGCCTGGAGCGCAGAGGCACACATGATCCGAGGCGTCAAATGACGAGAGGTGGGTCGCTTTCTAAGGTCCAGTGTGACTTGGAGTGGTTTGTTTTGACCCATAGCTAGCTGGTCATGAATGGTCGCGGGTACAAACCGGACGACCAACAATGTGCAATTTCTTTCGGAAGCAGTTCTCAGAGCATCCAGTTCTTAGAGCATAAAACCAACTAAACCGGATGTTGAAAAAGGCGCTTCCATTTCTTGCTGCTTCAATCGCGTGAAAAATCTCCATTCATTTTGGGGGCCCCAAAAAGGTTGACGTTGCCTCGGGCAAAGGGTCGGATGCATCGCGGCGAGGAGAATGCTTCGCCTGGCGTCAAGCCATTGAGATCCATGGATCCACAGGCCGTTGGTGACGTGGCTTAGCTGTCTAGGAATGTTTAGGAGCTCCCACCTTGTTACTCGTTTTTAGGGGATTCCATGGAGTGCAAGCGTTGGGGTAACAGAGATATACTATACCACTAATCATGTCTAAGCAAGAAGAATAGGGATTTAGAATGATTTAGAGAGATTTCAACAAGAAACGGTGGGATTTCATTCAGTTCCGAGTTCCTCGTGTGTTGAAGGTCCAGAATGACTGGATACATCAATGTTTCCTTGGTTCTGGTATGTTCTAGTTTTAGCCCCAATTCATTGGTTAAAACCCACTCCCGATTCTTGTCGGCTACAATCCAACAATGGACATGTAACTCATGCCTTGCCATACTTCGGGCTTTGCTTTGCCTACTCCCTTCGCCATGGGGGATGGGATTGGTGAAAAATCCACGGCAGCGTGCTATCCAGTTTCCCCCAAATAAAATCAAATAAATGCCGCACTGATTACCGTTGAGTTTCATCCATAGTATGATATATATATATATAACATATATATATAATATATATATATAACATATATATATATATAATACATATATATATAATATATATATATATATACATACATATATATATATATCATATGTCACCATATCAATGGGGGTAGAGATGGCTAGAGATGGTACCCCCTTTTTTTCCAACAGCTTTTTAAAGTCTTTCGCCTTGACCTCCGGCGTGGGCAACGCTGGGCTGCTCTCATTGGGGTCCGGACAGATGGTGACCTCGCGGTCCGGTTCCATAAATGGGGGTACCCTAATAGCTGGATGGTTTATTTCATTTATGTTTCCCTAATGGATAATAGTGCTAATGGATAATTTATTATTTATCTAAATGGTGCTAATGGGGTTACCCTAATTATCCATTTATGGAACATCGCATCAAAATGGATAATTTAGGGGTACCCCCATTTTAGGAAACCTCCATATATATATATATTTATAAATACATGCTCAAGGCCCCCTGCAGAACCCCCAATCATGTATTCTTTACATAGATATGCTTTGAATAGTTTTGTTTTTTTAATGAAGTAGAGGCAGCACTGTATAATGTCTTGATCAGCCATATATAATATACAATAATGAATATACCTTAATTATACCTTCAATATAGTTCTAATAAGTATCATAAATCATTTTATTGACTGGCCATGAGCATATCTTTAATAAACATTAGTAAACCTTTAATTTACCTTTAGTAACCCCTTGTGAACTAAGTCGGAACGTCATGGGTCCCAATTTTATAGAGTTAAAACGCCGGAGTACATCCCCCCCAACAGGGTCCTCTATAAAATGGGAACCCATGACACTCCTGGGGAGGGTTTACTTCTATAAAATGAAAAATATCAAGTTTGTAGAGGCCATCACTTAACCCTCGTTCAACCCCAAAACCCTTCAACCACTATAAAATTGGGCACTCTGACATTCCGTCGAGCCTATCTTGATTTTATTTTATTTTCCTAAACTTACCCAAAACTCACTATAGAACCTTAAACCTAATTAGGGTTTTCTTGACGTCATGGGTTCCAATTTTATAGTGATTATATACCCTTAAAAACAATGATTTTCTGACGTCGTGGGTTCCGATTTTATAGTGCCCTGGGTCCTTCCTTCCTTATATTTCCATTATATATTCCATTCATAACTGCTGTTAAGGGCTATAACCGTATGGATCGACCCGCAATGATCTGGACACATGGATTGGACTTCAGATTGGAATATGGCCATTTTGAAGAAACATGAAAGTCATCAAACAAGAATTCTGGCTTGAGTGATCTGCAACGCATTTAAACTTCAACGCAGTCATGTTTCCGTAAAGAACAACTATGTCAGAGATCCGTTAGCCTACATTCAAACATGATAGGATAGATTTTTTGGAATATAGATCAGTGTAAAATTTGAACAGCCTTTCCAGAAACGTGGTAAAATGGTGCCCCTATTCTCCCTGGGAACTGATAGAAACAGTGAAGAAGAGCTGGCACGGGCACTTGCTAACAGCCCTTTTGGGCCCCTTTTGGGCCACCCCAACTTAGGTGAAATGTGGTTAAATCACCATAACCATACCCATGAAAGATCATTTAATTTACCCTATTTACAGTCTGAGTTGTCTTTCAGCAACACCAAAAATCACCAAAAACGAATGGTTCAAGTTCAGGATTTTGAGTCTCCAACGATAGATCCTTTTCACACACAGATGTAGTTGGTCAAAAAAGGTATAATGTGGGTAAAACAATAATAAACCACCCATGTGGGAATGGTTTATACAACCTATTTACGGTGATTTGCGGGATGGTTTATTGTTGTTTTAACCACATTACTCCACACTTGCCGTTTGTTTGTTGGGAATAATTTATAACATTTTATAACCCATGGTCTAATCCGGACGTGCTTTGCATTCTTTTCCTCTGTCGATAGCTATCGGCATCATCGGCATCTGTGGCCCCCGAGCGTGATAATCTAACTGGGATTCGTAGACAAATTCCTCAGCAAGCGGCTACACGACTGAAGACATGAAACCACCGTGAAACTCCTTCGTAGCCAAGTAGCCTTCGAAAATCAAACATGGCAATGGGGAATCCCCTAGAAAAACATCAATGGTGGATTCTCCGTGGCCATGACCAAATGCCCAGCAACCCTGCTGGGCTATCCCAAGGCTGAAGCCCCACAAATGGCGCACTTGTAGAGAGGTCCCTTGCCCTGGACAGCCAGGTCTCAGGTTGATCTTAGTTGAGGTTCCAATTCTACCAGTTCAAAGACACATTTAGAATTGGATTGAAGCTTAGACCCATTTTCATAGCTTGCTATTAAATATTTTGCCAGCAAAAGTACATATGTGCATATATATATATATATCGTGATATATATATATATATATTTATATATCATATATATATATGTATATATCATATGTATATATCATATATATAATATTATATATATATATATGTTATCATATATATATATCATATATATATATATATATCATATATATATATATATCGTATATATATACACAATTATAAATATATCATGTATATATATATAATCATATATCATATATATATATATATGTACACAATTGTATACATAACATATATATATAATTATATATATTATATATACACTATATAGTACTATGTTTACCCATGATGTATATACATGTATAGTACGAGTAATGCAAAAAAAAACTCAACACCACAGCGAAGTTCCTTGCCTCTGGTGCCGGCGTTGCTGGGGTAGCTGCCCTGATGTTCCCCAAGTTGAGAAGAAAACATGAGAAACTATATGGTCGCGAAATCCAGCACCACCAAAAGGATGATTGCAAACCCTATAAATAATGGGATGTTTACCACCTATCAACTGGTGCGGGATTTCTTCCATCCACAGTAGTGACTGTGTGAAGTATCCATTTTTGGGAGAGATCTCTGAGACTCGTCATTCGGGGTGCTCTACTGGTTTGGCTTCACTTCGCCAGAGAATCAAATTAAACGAAATGAGCCAATGTAATTAATAATTAGCTACCTCTGCTTCCTTCATAGATGCTCTGCAGCAGTTTCGCCCACCTTTCCGCGCTTTCTTGCATCTCTCCTGCACAGAAGTGGGGAACATATGGAAACCTCAATGCCGAAATCACTGTCACAATGACACGGCTCAAAGGCTCTCACCGGTTGCCACTTTAAGCTGATGAGAAACTGTCTCCAACAATTGGCCAAATTCCACCTTTGCACCTTCAGTGAATTTTTTTGGGTGTAGAGAATCCGCCGCCCAAAATGAAGCCACTTCGAATCTCCGAAAACCGAATGCAGAGTTACAGTCTTCGAGGTGTCCTCCCAGTTTTTCAAAGTCACCCCGAGGGGCTCCTGAGTCATCTAATCTAGCTTCCACCACTTGCACATGACGTTCTGGAGCCGCATTGAGCTCCAAGACCACCTGCCACGAAAAAGCCACCAAAAATCAACCAACACGTGGCGAAACCGTTTCCCCGCCAAAAATAGGGAATCAAGGCACAGCATGATTTAAAAAATATTCAAAAATGAGGAAAGTCGTCAATCTTTACGTTGAAAATGGTGGGCTTTCCTGCAGGACAGGTTGGATTGCAGGACGGAACTGCCAAGGTTCAGCCCTTTTGAAAGGTGGAGAAATTCTGATGCCAAAGCAGTTGGCTCGTCGAATCCAAGTCATCGGACTATGTGTCCTTGACGCTTAAAATGATGTATGAGATTTGGGGCCCCCTGTTTTTCATGATGTTCTACCCCGCATCTGCGCTTTACGTTTGAAAATCCAACGGTTCGCAACATGTTTGTGTGCGAGTGTTCTTTTCACAAAAGCTTTCTTTTTGCCTGTGTTTGAAATCATTCTGGGGTTCTGACCATGTTCATTAATGTGGGTTTGACTGAAACTTGGGATCCCAAAATCCACTGGGTAATCATTATGCTTCCCGCTTCCCATCAAAATGGCCATATGGCCATATATACTAAGGACATCTTAGGACATGTTGACACCTCAAAACATTCTCATCCATCATCCAAGATCTTAGGCCGGAACGGTTCTTGGCGACTGGTCAGAAGCAACCTGTCGACAGAGCAGGACCGAAAAACTCGGTGAAGTCCAACCCAATCCTTGACAGGTCTGGCAGGTCCCGGTGGCACCTCCACACCACTAACCATGGCAGGCATGGCAGGCACAGTGGCGCTTGCGTGCCCTCTATCAACAAATTTCTCAGTTTTTCAGTGGTTGTCAGTTGCTGGTTCTTCATCTGTTTCATGGGCCAAAACAGATCATATACATACACATAATTATATATATATACATATATATATATCTAAATCAGATCAAAATTCCATAAGATCCAAAAAAATCTGAAAGACAAGGCTCCAGTGCTGCCTATTCTGATGGCTGATGGCGTGAATCCCGTGCTGATCTGTCAGCTGCAGGGACGACTTGCATTCACCCGGATTCAAAGGACGTGTCAAAAGAGAGGTACCTTGAAATCCCGCGGTTTGTAAAATATAACTAAAATATATTGAAATATACGGAAGCAGATGGAAATATTCGGAAATTTAATTCACTTACTGGAAATTTCTCCATTTAGTTCCATTTGTAGTTATATCATTCCCCATTACCAGTAGTACCGCACAAGGCGGTGGCGGAAGTTTCAAAAATAGGAAAACGATAGGAGAGATCGGTTGTTGTGAATCACGGGTGGCAGAGCGAATCCACTGATGGACCGAAAGGTGGTTGGAGCTGTGTTTTTTGGAGTGGTTGCAATCGTTGCAGTGGTCACCTGGTCGGTCACCTCACCCACAACTGCTGGATGTAGTGTGGTGTAGTGCAGCTGTAGTTGTAGTTGTAGTGTAGTGGAGTTGTAGTTGTGGTGTAGTGTAATTAGCGTAGTGTAGTTGCAGTTGCATTTGTGGTGGTGTAATGAATGTAGTGTAATGTAATGTAATGTGGCGTAGGGTAGTGTAGTGTAGTGTAGTGTAGTGTAGTGTAGTGTAGTGTAAATGAGTGTAGTGTGGTGTGGTCTGGTGTAGTGTGGTGTAGTGTAGTGGAGTGTAGTGTAGGTGTAGTGTAGTGGAGTGGGGTGTAGTGTAGTGCGGTGTAGTGCAATGCAACTAGTGAATGTAGTGTAGTGTAATGTGGTTTAGTTGCAGTTGCAGATGCAGTTGTAGTTGTAGCTGTAGGTGTAGTGCAGTGTCATTCAGTGTAGTGTAGTGGAGTGTAGTGTAGTGTAGTGTAAGTAGTGTAGTGTAGCGTAGTGAAAATGTAGTATAGTTGTAGTTGTAGCTGTAGTTATAGTGTAGTGTAGTGGAATGTAGTGTAGTGTAGTGTAATGTAGTGTAGTGTAGTGTAGTTGAGTGGAGTGTAGTGGAGTCTAGTGGAGTGTAGTGGAATGTAGTGTAGTGAAGTGGAGTGTAGTGGAGTGGAGTGTAGTGGAATGTAGTGTAGCTGTACTGTAGTGTAATGTAGTGGAGTGTAGTGTGGTGTAGTGTAATGTAGTGTAGCGTAGTGTAGTGTAGTGGAATGTAGCGTAGTGTAATGTAATGTAGTGTAGTGTAATGTAGTGTAGTGTAGCATAATTGAATGTAGTGTAGTGGAGTGTAGTGTAGCGTAGTGGAATGTGTGTAGGTGTAGTTGTAGTGTAGTGTAGCGTATTGGAGTGTAGTGTGGTGTAGTGGTGGTTGTAGTTGAAAATGCTACAAAACCCTCACGTTTTGCTCACTTTTGACAAGGTGCACAATCCCGTGCGCCTGCCACGCGAAACGACATCTGAACGTCCAAAAGTGGCGCGAACATGTGGTGATTTTAACATTTTGACTTCGAAATGTGCTTCGCGCCACAACGGCGTGTACTTTTTCGACATCTCAACTTCCAAAAGTGGTCCGAGCATGGTGCGCTTTGTACATTTTGACTTCGAAATGTGCTACGCGCCACAACAGCGTGCACTTTTTCGACATCTCAACTTCCAAAAGTGGTCCGAGAATGGTGTGTTTTGTGCATTTTGACTTTGAAATGTGCTCAGCGTGCACTTTTTCGACATCTCAACTTCCAAAAGTGGTCCGAACATGGTGTGTTTTGTACATTTAGACTTCGAAATGTGCTTCGCGCCAACACGGCGTGCAATTTTTCATCTCTCACCTGGCCAGATGGCTCCGCACCCGCGGCTTTAGCGAGCCTACTTTTGGACCCTCCGGAGCCACAAATCATTGGAAAAATACAGTGTTTCTCGACTTTCCTACCTTTTCGCGCACCTGAGCTTCTTTCTTCTGGCTCTTTTTCTCTGATCTTCTCTCTTCTACTCTTCTCTTCTCTCTGACTCTTCCCATCTCTGCTTTTCATCTGTCCATATTGTCGGAAGTTTGACTTCTAAACTTCCTTCGAACATTGCAAATTTGGGGGCATCTAATTTTCGGACACACCCTCGTCTTTACTCATGCGGAATCACGCAATTCTTGCCAGATCCAATTGGGAAATGCAATGCTGAAAAACATGTCTAGTTCGTTATACAGGGTGATACGAACCGGCCTAGTGCGAACTGCTGCACGCGCCAACCAGCAAAAGGGGAGTTTTGGGCACAAGTTTCTTCCGCGCGTCACTCTCGAGATTGATCCAAGGGTGAGACTTGCGTCGCTCAAAAGGAATTGTCCAGAAAAGGGAGACACCAGTACCCTAAACTATCCTAAACTAAACTTGAAATCTTAGTCATCTGAGGTTCCAATCCACAATCCATGGGATTTGGGATCTCAATGGATCTCCTATTTTCAGACCCCAACGTTGCCACATCACTCCTCTCTCAATGCGAATCGCTTTCGGATCTGAGCAAATTGCGTCCCCAGCTGGGTCGAAGATGTCGAAGGAAGGTGGAAATCCGCAGCTAAGGTCCCGGCATATTCTTCGTGAAATTGTTTCTTTGCTTCGTAGAACCTCATTGCATATGGACAAGGAAGATGATCCAAAGATATCCAAAGATCATGTCCGCTGGATGGGCCAAATGCTGGAAAGACTGATATATGGCGTATGCGTAGATCATATTCAATTTAGCAATCGATATTTGTCCGTGATT